TTCTGAACCGAAAGATCTGGCTCTCTTTGGTCCCTCCGAGAATTGCCTTTATATGGAAAGCAGCTTGTGGCAAGATAAACACATAAGACCATATTCAGAGGAAAAGAAAGGGGCAGCTATGATTTCCCCTCATGACAACATTTTAAGGATCTGATGGAAGCTTTCACTGGGCTCCTCCAAGTTTTGTTTGTGGTTTTATTTACCAATGCAAAAGCAGCAAGCTTGGTAAAAGAGGCAGCCTCTACTCTACTTGAAGGCAGTAATTCATGTGGTCATGTGGTGCATTTGGGAAGAATGGAACAAAAGAATATTTGAGAATTAATACACCTCCATAGAAAACCTGAGAAGATGTGCTCTGATCTTGATCAGTTCCTGGATGCTGACTCATAAGTTCTTCAGTGGCTTCAGTTTTGCTCAAGGTTCAAAATATCGATACCCTGATATGCTGGATGGGGTGTATCGATATTTCGAACCTTGCACATATTATTTATTTAGTTTTTTTTTTTCAAAATTTCAAAGGGGCGATTTTTTATGTTATTTAGTTATCAAAAAAAATTTTCTTAAAATTCCTTAAAATAGGCGTATCAGTCAGCAAAAGATACGATACGATATGCTTGATACGGGGCGCATCATATCAGAATTTTGAACCTTGGTTTTGCTGGACTAGATGGGAATCTCTTGGAGACTTTGCAATCCTTCCCTTTTGCTCTTCAGACCAGCCTGCCTCTTTCTCCGAGGTCCCCCTGAAAGAATGGTAGGATCCATCGTATGGACGCCAAAAATGTTGCGGAATGGGTGGGCGAATTTCAAAAATTTTCTACCTTCTTCCAACTGGGAATCATATTCCCTAAATTCAGAATACAATATTCAAGGGTTCTACTTGAACCATAATCGAACCAGATCTGAACCAAAGACAAGGGAGGAATTATACCTGATCCAGAGAAGTAGTATCTCCCAAAGTTGGTGTTCACGCCCAAAGATGACACCAAGATCCGCTCCTGATGAAGATGACACAGCTGTATGTGGAACGGAACCAACAGAGTGCGTCCTACACACTGAATCCTTCGCAAGAATCCACTGGAAACTCTGAGCACCAAATCTTTTCAGTCTTTTTGCAAAACTGATGTCAAGAACCAATTTCTTGATTTCTTTCTTCTTCAAAGATTGAATCTTGTAAGAAAGAATGGTGGCGGCTGGAGGAGAACTCCTGAGATGAAGATGGCTGAAATTTCTTCTCTTCTCTCTAGAGTGTGTATGAGATCCAATCTCAATTCATAGGATGTTTTTCTTGCACAAAATCCTAGGTTCAAAATCTGATTATTGCTCTCAGGGTTTCTCCTCTTTTCTTCTTGATTAAGAAACCTCCTAAGGAGGAGTTATCCCAATCCAAATCAGTATTTGGATAGGGGATGATCTYAAYCYTATCTDBAGATTAAGTTAGCTTACTCCTGATCTTATCAGGAGGTTACCAGATTCAAATCTGATTTGAATTTGGTCTCCCAGAGTGGATAAGGTTAAAGGCCCAATCCT